CCCCCCCAATGCCCCCCAGACCCTCCAAACTCCCCCCAGACCCTTCCCCCAACCACAAGGACCCTTCTCCTCCTCTCCCCACAACAGAAAGCATCCCCAGGACCCCCCAAAAGACCCCCCGGGCCTCACCTGGTTTCTCACCAACCACCTCGAGCAGCCGGGCCTGGCTCTGGTCCCCAACGGGCTGGGGGGGCACAAGGGGGGGTTTGGGGGCACCAGGAGACCCCCAGATCACAGCAGAGGGGGGGCAGGGGGGTTTTTGGGGGTCTCACCACAGCAGAGTGGGTTTGGGGTGATTTTGGGGAGCTTTTTGGGGTGATTTTGGTGGTCTCACCACAGCGGGGTGGGTTCTGTTGGGGTGGGTGATTTTGGGGAGGTTTTTGGGGGGTCTCACCACAGCAGGGTGGGTTTGGGATGATTTTGGTGGTCTCACCAGAGCAGGGTGGGTTCTGTTGGGCTGGGTGAGTTCGGGGTGATTTTGGGGTGATTTTTGGGGTGACTTTGGGGGCTCTCACCACAGCAGGGTGGGTTTGGGGTGATTTTGGTGGTCTCACCACAGCGGGGTGGGTTCTCTTGGGCTGGGTGAGTTCGGGGTGATTTTGGGGTGATTTTTGGGGTGACTTTGGGGGGTCTCACCCCAGCGGGGTGAGTTCTGTTGGGCTGGGTGAGTTCGGGGCGATTTTGGGGTGATTTTTGGGGTGCCTTTGGGGGGTCTCACCACAGCGGGGTGAGTTCTGTTGGGGTCTCACCACAGCGGGGTGGGTTCTGTTGGGCAGCTGCAGGGCCCCCAGGTAGAATCTCTGCTCCAGCTCAGACTCCTCGGCCTCGAGCACCCGAAGCTGCTCCCGGAGGCTCCGGCCCCGCTCCCGCAGCGCTGCCAGCTCCGGGTGCTGCCACAGGGCCACCGTGAGGGCCTGGGGGGCCACCAGCCCCCCGGGCCCCCCCAAATCTCCATTCCTACCATCTTGGCCGCTGCCTTGTCGTGGGAGGCCTGGGGGGGGAGGAGGGAAACGAGTCAGGGGGTCATTGAGGGGGTCTGGGGATGGTGGAGTGGTTCAGGGGGAAAGGAAAGGGGGTCCTGAGGGGGTCCGGGGGGGGGGACCAGAGGGACCCAGTGGAGATTTTGGGGCTGCCGGGGGTCTCACCATGATCTCGCGGACCCCCTGGGCCACGCGCCCCTTCTCGGCCTCCAGCCGGGCGATGCCATCGCGGACCTTCCCCAGCCGCGACCACGTCCGCACCTGAAGGGCGGAGCCAGGGCGTGGCTCAGGTGGGCGCGGCCGGCCACACCCAAGCGGGGGGGGAGGGCACACCGCGCAAGCCACGCCCCCTCCCCCAGCCGCAGGCCCCGCCCACCGCCGTTCCCGCCACTCACGATCTCGCGGAGCGCGGCGCCCCCGGGGCCGGCCACCCCCAAGCGGGGGGGAGGCCACACCGCGCAAGCCACGCCCCCTCCCCCAGCCGCATGCCCCGCCCACCGCCGTTCCCGCCACTCACGATCTCGCGGAGCGCGGCGCCCCCTAGCGGCCCGCGCCGCCGCTCCAGGTCGCGCTCGCTGAGGGCGGTCACGTCGAGCTGCGGCCGGGCGCTCAGCCCCTCCCGCACGTGCTCGTACAGGCGGCTCCGCCCCGCGGCAGCGGCCCCGGCAGCGGGAGCGGGGCCCGGCCCCGGAGCGGCCCCCGCGGCCCCGCGCCGCCCGCC